ATAAAGTAGAGGAAGACAGGCATGGATGTTAGCCCAGGGCCAATCTTCCTCAGCAAAAAGAGGAGGATTGGCAACGGATGTTAGCTCAGAGCTAATCTTCCTCTCACACACACACACACAATACAGCCAATAGCAAGTGTTGGCAAGGATGTGGAGAAACTGGAGCCCTTGCACACTGCTTGTGGGTGTAGAATGGGTCAGCCGCTACAGGAAACAGTCTGGCAGCTTCTCAAAAAGTTAAACATAGAGTTACACCTGACCCAGCAACTCCACTCCCAGATCCAAGAGACATGAAAATATAATTTTGTACAAAAACTTGTATAAGAATTTTCAGAGCAGTATTATTCACAACAGCCAAAAAGTGGAAACAACCCAAATGTCCATCGATGGATGATGGATAAACAAATGTGGTCCATCCACACAATGGGGTACTACTCAGCCATTAAAATGAATAAAGCACTGACACAGGCTACAACACGGATGAACCTTGGAAACATCATGCTGAGTGAAATAAGCCAGACACAAAAGGCCACATAGTGTATGACTCCATTTATATTAAAAGTCCAGAATGGGAAAATCCATAGAGAGAGAGTGGATTCGCAGTTGCCAGGGGCTAGGGGAGGGGATGGGGTGTGACTGCTCACAGGCACGGCGTTTCCTCTTGGGGTGATGGAAAGTTCTGGAATTAGACAATTGTTAGTGGTGATGGTTGCACAACCTTGTGAATATACTAATATTGTGCACTTTAAAATGTTGAATTTTATGATATGGAAAGGATATTTTTTAGTGAAAAAAAGTACAGGGGAAGGGGAGGGAAGGAAAGAAAAGCTACTGGTTCCTCAGAAACTTGTGATGTCCTTGATGGAGGATATGAGCCTGGTGGGACATGGTGGGATCCCCACTCCTCCTTTCCCCTCACTACACCCTGTGGGGACCCCTCAGCCCCGGGACTCTGAACAAAGTGTGCAAGGGTGTATACAGGTGTACTAGCACGTAGTAGTGTGTGGGCTAGCATGTACGCTAGAGTGTGCGCTAGAGTCTGTACTAGACTGTGCACTAGAGCGCATGCTAGAGTCTGCGCTAGAGTCTGTGGTAGTGTGTGCTCAAGTCTGTGGTAGTGTGTGCTCAAGTCTGTGGTAGTGTGCGCTAGAGTCTGCACTCGACTGCACACTAGAGTCTGCGCTAGAGTGTGCGCAAGAGTCTGCGCTAGAGTCTGTGGTAGTGTGCGCTAGAGCCTGCACTAGAGTCGGTGGTAGTGTGCACTAGAGTCTGCGCTGAAGTGCGCGCTCGAGTCTGCACTAGATAGAGTCTATGCTACAGTCTGTGGCAGTGTGCGCTAGTGTACACACTAGAGTGCATGCTAGAGTGTGCGCTAGAGTCTGTGCTAGAGTGCGTGCTAGTGTGTGTGCTGGAGTGCGCGCTCCAGTCTGTGCTAGAGTCTATGCTGGAATGCGCGCTAGAGTGTGCACTACAGTCTGCGCTAGAGTCTGTGGTAGTGTGTGCTTGAGTCTGCGCTAGAGTCTGTGGTAGTGTGCGTTAGAGTCTGCGCTAGCGTGTAGTAGAGTGTACGCTAGTGTGTTAGCATGTGTTAGCGTGTGTACTAGCCTGTGTGCACTGTGCACTAGGAAGAAGCAAGCAGGACTCCATCAGGAACACACCGGGCAGCAGACCCTGGTCCTTTAACTGAAAAGATGTCTGCACAGAGGTATTTGGGGAGCTCAGCTGCCCTCGCCTGTCTGGGCGACACCACTGACAACACTCCCCCAGAGACTCCAACCTGCAGCCACTGCCCTGTGCTCCTCGTCCACAGACAAGGGTACAGTTCCTGCTTCTCCACAACTGTGTGACATGGGAAGCAGGGTGGGAGAATGGAGCCCCCAGGCCATCACAGTCCTGACGAACTGCCCTGTGTCCCGTGGGCATGGGGTGCACGTGGGCGTGGGGTGCACATGGGCATGGGGTACAGGTGGGCATGGGGTGCACGTGGGCATGCTCACACATGCTGCTACTTCCTGCAAAGCCACGCCCCGGTCCAGCAGGGACCTGGGGGACAATCATTGTTTGGTTGATGGCCGCAGAGCCCAGAACTGAGGCTGCTCTTCAGAGGCCGGTGGCTGAAGCTGCTGACAGGACGGGCAGAGGCCCACAGCCTTCCTGAGACCCCTTCCCGCAATCCACAGGTGTTCATCGAGTGCCTGGATGCTTGGGACCCACCCATGGGTGGAACAGGGCTGGCGTTCTGGAGAGGAAGTCAGCGTGAGCAGCGAGTGAGGGGGTGAGGGGCAGGCAAAGGAGGAGCCAGCCCAGACCCCAGACCCCACGACCAGGAGAGCAAGGAGGCAGCGTGCCTGGATGGGGGCAGTGGGAGATGTGGTCAGGAAGGCAGGGGACATGCCAGGTGGGATGGGAGCAGGTCCACAGACCCACAATGGCAGCCGTCTCCCCCAATGCCAAGCTCAGCGGCTGCTCCTCTGTGCAGCCGTCTCTGTGGCCTTCCCCTTCTCTGGGTCCGTCCCAGCACGCTGTGGCCTCTGGGCCTCCCCTTCCTCTGCTGGCCCCTGTGACAGCCCTCCCCACACCTCTGGCCTTCCAGTAAGAGGGTGTTTCGGCACACGACACATCCCTACATGGTGCTTGTTACAGCGGGCGGGAGCTGTCCAAAGCGGGAGCCTGGCTGACATGGGAGCCCATGGCACCTCTGGCCGCGAGCAGGCGCTCAGAGGTACATGCTGCACGAGGGACGGACGGATGGAGCAGTGAGCGCCGGGCCTCCGTGAGGCAGCCCAGCCTGGAGAAAGCCCTGCCCACCAGGCAGGTGCCACCTCGGACGTCAGCCCCGAGCCCCTCACCGCAGCTGCGCAGCCTCCCAGGGACAATGGCGAGATGAGTGTGACAGGCCCGATTCCCAAACGTGAGAGGCCCGAGTCCCGCTCAGCACTCGCGGAGACGCCAGCGGGAGAAAGGCAGTGTCTCATTTCCTCTGGGGGCTCCTTCCCACTCCGCTGGACAGACGGGCTGTGAGACGAACTGCAACATGCCCAGGACACGGGTATCTGCCAGGCCCTGTTCCAGGTGTTGGGGACCCAGCCCCTGCCCTCCAGGTTCGCATTCCAGGGCGAGTGCACCAAACACAATCCCCACCGCAGGCACATCGGTGTGCCGAGGGGCAGGCAGGACACCGAGGGCTGGCTGTGCCTGCTCCAAAGGGAGACGGCCCCTTGGGGACATCTGAGCAGAGACTTGAATGAAAGGGGATCTGAAGGAGGGCATTCCAGGCAGAGAGGCACAGAAGCAAAGAGGCAGAGGGGGCTTGTTCCGTCTGAGGACCCCCAGGAAAGCCCCTCTCCGGGGCAGGTGGGCAGCAGGGCCCCGGCCCAATGAGGTTAGTTCCTGCCCCTCCTGGGCACACAGGAAGGAGCGGATGTCCCCCACAGCGCTGACCTCCGCGTGTGGCCAAGTGCTGGGGTGTCTGGAACCTGATGAGGCGGGTTCGAGCAGACGTCAGAGCAGGAACGCGGTCGACTGGAGCCAGGTGGGCAGCAGAGGGGAGAAAGCTGTTCCAGAGCAATCCCAGCTCACTGCTGGGGTGAATTTAAACCAGTGAGAAACACGGAGTTTGTGGGGCCCGCTCCTAACCAGGCTCGCTGCAGGGCGCCGTCGTCTGCAAGGGTCCAAGCCTGAAGCTACAGCCTGAGGCTACTCTGTTCCAGGATTTGCTCCTCCCAGGAAACATGAGCTGCACAGAACCTTCCCAGTTCCCATCCTGACACTTTCTCTAAACCACAGCTCCTTAAAAAAAGCAAAACCAAAAAAGGGGCCAGGTGCCCACCACGCCCGTGTTTCCTATCAGAACCCCAAGCCCTCAGCCTGAGGTCCGAGTCACGGGCTCTGGGACTTCGTGTGCCAGCAGCGGGAGACTGGACAGAGCTGCCGCCCACAGTCCCAACTCTAGATATTTGTGTTCCTGGAACCACAGCCCAACGTGCACCCTAACAAGACCCGGAGAGCCGGCAGCCGCAGAGTCCTGCTGTCACACGCGGACTTGGAGGTGGGCGGACGTGGGATGAACGTGCCCAGCCAGCAAATCAAGGCAAGGTCTCCCTGCCCACAAATGTGTGGGCATCAAGGGGCTGCATGCACTCCTTGACCAGCCGGCATTTCGGCAGGACCAGCAGGAAGGCCCTCTCGATCTCTCGTGGGCCCCACCACCAAAGGACTGACCTCCACATGTCTTCACGTCCTTCCTGACAGAGCAGGCCAACCCCCAACTGCCCTTCACTCGGAGGAGCCACCTGGTTCTCCAACCCCTGGGCCACTCCGGGGTGGGGCAGAGCCCACCTTCCACCGCTGCCCACTGGTCCCGAAAGATGGGCACGTGGGCTGGTAAAGACACAGGCAGGGTTCACTGGGCAGGCAGCGAGAGAGGAGGGTCTCCACTGGGACGTGTGCACCTTGAGGCCTGGGGTCAGAGGGCTACAGAGTGTGCAAAATGGTGTGTGTGTCTCGGCATCTTCTGAGAGTCCACGCTTCCTACAGGTGACCTAAGGGATCCGCGACCCTCTAGGCCGAGAACCCCACCACGAGATATGGAGACCACCTTTAGACACGTGCGCAGACGTGCATGCTCATGCACCTGCACACTCACGCATGTGCAGACACACCAAGCATCAGGGCGGGAGGAGCTCTGGATTCGGGGTCATTCAGGCCCCGGCTCTGCCCTCTGGCCTCGAACATGCCACCTCACCACTTCCTCTTTCTAACGCCGGGTGTGACACCAACGTCTCTGTCTAAACATCGCCCTGAATGACTCTGGCTGTTTGCAAAAGCCAAACACGTCACCTCCAGGACAAGCATTTGCTCTTTCGAGGGTATTCAGAACTACATGCCAGAACCTTTGAAATCACTGAGTCTGGGAAGAATTTGGATTCATCTGTTTGAAAAACAGCTACCCGCCCCACTCCCAGGGAGCAGACCAGCAGCGACAGCCGTCTGGGTCTTACCGCGTGGCCAGCTTGTGGCAGACAACGCCTGTGTCGGTGATGACCTCACTCAGCCGCAGCTCCAGGTGGACCTTGCCCTGAAAGCACAATGATAGAGGTCATGGCCACGAGTGGCAGAGTCTCTGTTCACAAACGTGTGGTGACGCCTGACCCCAAGAGGTGTCCACCGCGCTTCCACCCGCCCCCAACTCAGAACCCAGGGACCAGGATAGGTGTGGCTCCCCAGAGAGTTCCAGGTTCCAGCCATCGCGCTCCTAGCTCCGCTGACAGCAGCCGCTGTCTCAGAAGAAAGAAGTTAAAAAGCACAAGCAACGGTGGAGAAGCACTGTCCCCACATGTCTGCTTGCTATAGGTTATGTTGCCCACACAGTGTGGGCCTGCGGTCTGGGCAACTGTGTTGGAGGCCTCAGTGCTTCTGTGTCCACGCTGAGGCCTGGATCAGAGGCCAGGGAACGTTAGTCCTGCTTCTCTGGCAGGAGGCTAGTGCTCACGGATGCTTCTATAAGGAGAGCAGAGGTGCTGTATTTCTACCCGTGTCTGCCCACAGGGTCACACTAGCGGGAAGACAGTGAGGACAGCGAGGAGGACGTGACCGGGGCGTCATCAGGGGTCAAGGGTCATGAGGGGGAGAGGAAGAAGAGGCATAAAGAAAAGAAGAAATAACAATAACACCTGTCCCTCAAATCCAGCAGTGAGTGTGATGTGCACACTTACGTGAGTGTGACACATGCACTTACATGAGACAGTGAGTGTGACTCGTGTGCTTACATGAGTGTGATGCACGCACTTACGTGAGAGTGACATGTGCCTTTAGTGAGAGGTGCGTGCTTACTTGAGACGGTGAGTGTGAAGCGTGCGCTTACTTGAGACGGTGAGTGTGACACGTGCTTACGTGAGACGGTGAATGTGACGTGCACTTACGTGAGAGTGACACGTGTGCTTAAGTGAGAGAGTGACGCGCGCACTTACGTAAGACGGTGAGTGTGACACGTGGGCTTACATGATAGTGTGAAGCTCGCACTTATGTGAGACGGTGAGTGTGATGCGTGCGCTTACGTGAGAGTGTGACACGTGCACTTACGTGCGATAGTGGGACAAGTGCGCTTATGTGAGAGTGAGTGTGACACATGCGCTAACATGAGACGGTGAGTGTGATGCGTGCACTCATGTAAGAGGATGTATCGTATCGCTGAATTAAAATCATCTAGAAAAAGGAGGCTGGATTGATCATCCCTAGGTCCTTTCTGACCAGGACATCTGGACCCTGCAGCCTGGGGAGCTGATGGCCGCCTCGTCTCAGAGGATCCAGGATGGGGTGGATGAGACAGGACAGAGCAGGCGGGCAAGAGCGCGGGCAGGATTGCTTGGCCGGCCCCCACAGCCTCCTGAGCTTGCTCCTCCGGACGCCCCTGTGGACACTCCTGTGCGGCCGGCTCCCCTTGGCAGCTCCAGAGACTCCTGAGTGTCCTCCCCCCCGGGCGTGTGCTGCCCCGTCCCGACACCGGCCGCTCTACTCCTCTTCACCCATCGGCGCTCCAGCATACCGTCCACACAGCTCCAGTCTGCAGCTCCAGCGTCCGGCCCCCATGAGGTCCTGGGATGAGCTCATCTGTGTCTCCCCGGACCGTGTCCTGGGGCGTCGGTAGGGAGAATGTGCTGGCCTTTCGCCAGCAGAAATCCCGGTTCTGGACCAGTTCCGTGAGAAACCATCTGGCCAACAACGTGAGGTTTCTGGATCCGCGTCCCCACGTCGCTGCCCCCGATAACCGGCCCTTCTGGCTGAGGGAAGGCCGTGCCGATGGCGTGATCCAAACAGCTCACTGTCCTTTCACCTGCTGGATTCAGAGCCTGAACTTTGAACCACCCAAGAAGCGTTTCACCAAAATGCACGTGGCACTGATTACGAGAAAGGAGAGGGCCCAACCCAGACGTCTCCATCACGACAGTCTTGAGGACGTCCATGACGTGAGGGAGAGCCAGGTCATGGAGGGCTCCCTGCACTCCAGAGCTGAGGCACAGGGAGCTCGCCCGCCCCTGAGCCTGGCCCCACGTGGAAGCATCGCCGTTGTCCTTTGACAGAGGCACCAGGATCCACTTATTTGGAAAATAAACAAGAAACCAGGACCTGGGGTGAGACAGCTCGGGGGTGACGCCTCTCCAGCCTGGTCTACATGTGCCTCCTTCACCCTAGCCCCTCGCATCCTCATGTCCGCTTGTGTCCCAGGCGACCACATGCTCTGCAGGCCCCTCCTTGGGGCAGGGGTGATACTGGAAAGTACATGTGCCATAAACACTGGTTGCAACTTCCCCACAGAAGCCTTTCTTACAGCAAATCAGCTCCTCCCTTTAATGGGCTCGGGGATTGCGAGCCCAAACAAGTGGCTGCTCCCGAAGGCCACAGCACGGGGCCAGCCCGCAGCATCGCAGGAGGACAGCTTCGAGATTCCCCACAAGATGCAGCCCACGCAGCTGCCACGCCCACGACGACGACACGGGAGATCTGCGCGGACAGGGCAGCAGGGCCCCCTGATGATGAGGACGGCAGGGTCGGCCTCCTCCTGGGGCAGACGGCACAAGGCCCCAACCGTGGCAGTCCCGACCTCAGGAGCCCCGACCTCGGCCTGGGCGCCCACGCCACACCCAGCTGTGGACAGGGCTGGGTGCTGCCCTCTCGGGCCTTCCCCTCACCTGCCAGAAAGAGTGGCTGCAGGGAGGGTGGGAGCTCTGGGCAGCCAAGATGCCCAGGGATAAGTCCAGGACGCCAGGACCAGCCCGTCGGCATCCCATCCCTGTGATCCTGGGCGATGCCCAGTGACCTGAGCACAGAGCCAACATCTGCAAAGGGCTTTGACCGGTGCCCGCCACGTGGACTCTCGGAGTGCCTGCGGAGGGACACGCTCGCCTGGAGCAGCCAGCCTCCCCAGGAACCAATGGGCTCTTCCCACAGGGAGCCCTTGGGAGCTTCTACCGGATGCGTCCCTCATCTGACAAGCATGCAAACAACCGCTCCGGGGTCGGCCTCCACCTGCGCACGTGTCTGGTCCCAACCCCCTGGCTGACTGCCCACCCCTGCAGCCGGCGGGAGTAAATCCTCAGGCCAGTAACCAATGAGGGGCCTCAGTGCCAGCTGGCTCCTCGGGCAGAGAAGACAAAGACCCAGGGTGACAGCAGGGCCTGTGACAGAGCTGCTCCTGCAGCAGGGGTGAGAGCTCTCCGGATGACCCATGGTCTCAGCACAAGCCCACAAGGTGGGCGCTGTCCCCTCAGCTGAGATGAGGACACGGGGGCTGACAGCAACACCCTGCCCTCTTACCAAGCCCAGGACGAGAGCTCGTGACAAAGGGACAGAGTCAGAACTCGGCACAGGACGGCTCTGTGACGTGTGTTCACTGCATCCTCAGGCGCCCTGGGCACCACTCCTTCATGGATTACTCTTTAAGACTGGCAACGGCCATTCAGACTGACATGTCACTGACGTATCTTACTCAGGCTCCAAGAAGCCAAAGAACGCATCTGGGTTGGATGGACCCGGGCCGCTGATGCCCGTTTCCTGTTTCCCCCAGAAAGACCCCGAGCCGGCCGTGCTTCCTCCCGGGCGAGCACTTCCTCACCACGGCGGCCGTACTGAGCTCAACAAACAGAAGAACACAAACACCACCCAGGGCGGGAGGCCGCCGAGGAACTCAGCAAACCTGCGGCCCCGAGCTCACGTCTGCCTCATGGCTTCGCTAAGGTCTGGGCGGTGCCTCTCGCGCTGTGGGCGACAGGCAACCTCCTGCACAAACAACCACAAATGCCCCACCCCGGGCATTGAGGGCCACACCCTCCGCCTCGGGGCAGGAAGGGCGGGTTTTCTGGGCTCGGCCTCCACAGCCAGCCTCTTGGCCCACAGAACCTTCGACACAGACATGTCTGAGCTACACGAACCCCACGCCACCCTCCAAGAAACTGCCCCAGGCTTGTGTGGACCCCACAGAGGCTGTCTCCACAGGGGTCACAGACCCCATCCGCCGAGCAAGGGGTCCCAGCCTGGCAAGCCCTGGGACCCCGACTGGGGCAGGTCAAGCCCAATGGTACAGCCGAATCCTGCCCAGTAACTGTGACCCGGGCAAGATGGACGGAGACCCAGGCAGCTGTCCTGCATCTATCTTGGTCTACGTGGACAGAAAACCTTAGGACAGAGCATTAAAAATGCTGATTGGATAGTTTTTCCCATTCCTATTTGAGGTGAATAATGACATCAAGAAGTTTAAAAAAGCAGCTGTGAACTGACAGCAGCACCGACCCCCCAGGTCCAATTCCACCTGGAAACTCTTCACCAACAACAGAGAACATGTCCCCAAGCTCACACGACATCCCAGACAGACCCCTGGGCCCTAAACCACACGGGACACATCTAAAGGAACAGAAATCACACGTGTCTGCTCACAGACCACATGGGAACGAAACCAGCAGTCAGTAACAGAAAGACACCTGGAAATCCCAAAACATGTGGACACTACACCACACACTTCCAAACAACAGAGAGGCCAAAGAAGAGGTCTCAAGAGAAATTGAAAAGTATTTTGAATTCATTTCTTTCCATAAATAAAACTTATCAAAATTTGTGGGATGCAGCAAAAGCAGTGTTTCGAGGGAATTTTCAGCATTGAATGCATATTAGAAAAGAAGAAAGACCTGAAATCAGTCATCTAAGCTTCCACCTCAAGAAACTAGACAAAGAAGAGCAAATTAAATCCAAAGTGGGCAGAAAAACAGAAGTAACAAGAACGAGAGCAGAAATCGATGATTGAAAACAGGAAATAGAGAAAATCAACAAACCCAAAAGCTGGTTTTTTGAAAAGATCAATAAAACTGATAAACCTCTAGACAGGCCAACTAGGAAAAGAGAGACAGGACACAGATTACCACTAACTAATGAAGACGGGGGCCGTCACCCCCGCTCCAGGAAGCTGTCCTGGGTGGCTTGGCGTTGGGGGTCCGCACCATGCCCTTGTCACACCAACAGGACACACAGCTTGGAGGGTGACCCCATGTCAACCTTGGCCTCCGTCAGTAATCACTATTGATGTTGGCCCAGTGAGCGTGATGAGTGCACACAGACGTCAACAGTAGTCATGGTGCCAGAGAGGGGCACACGGGTTCTGTGAACTTTTCCTCAACCTTTCTGCAAATCTAAGACTGCCCGAAAAATAAACTTTATTAATTCCAAAGGGAAAGAGCGCTGGTGGTTCCATACGATTTCCTCAGGCAGGCGTCAGATCCCTGGTCCGCAGATGCTATGTGCACGCAGCAGGGAGCAGCCTCCCTGAGTCCTGACCTGCAGGGCTGCGGGGCAGACCAGCGATCAGTGCAAAGGTCAGCAGAGGTCAGCGCAGAGGTTAGCACGTCAGCAGAAGTCAGCTCAGAAGTTAGCAGAGGTCAGTGCAGAGATCAGCACAGAGGTCAGCAGAAGTCACCAAAGAGGTCAGCAGAGGTCAGCGCAGAGGTCAGCAGAGGTCAGCGTAAAGGTCAGCAGAGGTCAGCACAGAGGCTAGTGCAGAGGTCAGCAGAGGTCAGTGCAGAAGTCAGCCGAGGTCAGCAGAGGTCAGTGCAGAGGTCAGCACAGGTCAGCACAGAGGTTAGCAGAGGTCAGCAGAGGTCAGCAAAGAGGAGAATCTGGGACCACGCAACTGAGCTCTGGGACCTTCTACCCACTGTGAGGAGATGAGACTACTGAGAAGAGAGAAGATGAAAGTAAAGAGCAAACCGGACAAAAGAAACGCAGAAACGGACGTCGAGGGGAAGGAAGGAGGCCGGACCTCGCCCTTGCCCTCCTGCACATCCTGGGACCCATAGAAAGGTTCAAAGCTGGGTCCTGGGAAGTGGATTGTTCCAGAAATTCTCCAAACAGGACTGTCTGACCCACAAGAGGAACATCCCGGAGAGTCCACTGTGAGGCGGTTTCTGCCCCGTCTAGTGGTGCAAGAACGGAATGACCTAGTGGGGCTGTCAGGGTCTGTGGGGTCGGCTCACCTGTCTGCGCACTTTCCTGAACACACACTTTGATAACAAGTTTACCAAGACAAAACAGAGCATCGAGCAGAGTCGTTGGCTGCCGCCATCCTTGGAGGAGTCGGGGGACTGGGCGGCTCAGGTGCTGGGGGCTGCCCCTCCCACTCAGCACCAAGAGGGCCCGTGGCGGAAAGAAGGGACACCTCCAGATGCAAGCTGTGACGTCCTACAGCACAGGCCACAGTCCAGGCCCGTCCCTGCCAACCGCCTCATTATGATGTCCCCATGTTCTGATGTCCCCATGTCCTGATGTCCCCATGTCCTGTTGTCCCCACAGAAGGTCAGGGAAGGAACAGAGTGATGAGCTCTTTTTAATAAAGTGATTTACCAGACACCTTTGCAGACAGTTCCAGAAGGAAGCAAGGCAGGTTTTTTTTTTGTCAGGAAGATCAGCCCTGAGCTAACATCCATGCCAATCCTCCTCTTTTTTTTTTTGCTGACGAAGACCAGCCCTGAGCTAACATCTATTGCCAATCCTCCTCCTTTTTTTTCCCCAAAGCCCCAGTAGATAGTTGTATGTTATAGTTTTACATCCTTCTAGTTGCTGTATGTAGGACGCCACCTCAGCATGGCCCGACAAGCAGTGCGTCGGTGCATGCCTGGGATCCGAACCCAGGCCGCCAGTAGCGGAGCGCGCATACTTAACCGCTAAGCCACGGGGCCAGCCCCAGCCAGGCAGTTTTTAAACCGTCTTCCCCCATTTTTGACTTGGCCCCAGTTCTGGGGCACCTTCTCTCCAACATGCCCCTTTATCAACTACAGAGCAGATGGACTCCAGAGCCACAGGCCGTCCTGTGCCCCTCTAAAAACCATATATGTGGCGTTTCAGAGGGAAGCGGTGCAGCGGAGAAAGATGGCGATTGCTCTTTAAAGGTCTGAGTCTGGCGGCGCTGCTCCCGCTGCACACGGCCCCCTGCGGAGCAGGCACCCCCCCCCCCCCACCAGAACTAACCTCCCTCAGTGAAGTGCCCGCACGGCGCCTGGAACCTCATGGGTGGTCAATACATGCCGTCCTGCCTCCTTTCCTCAAAGGAAGAAAGATGTGCACTTGCCGTCTGTAATTCACAAATTCCCAGGAACCTGGCCCACCTGGAGTCTGCGTCCCGTTTCACAGGTGGTAAGAGTCAGGCTCAGGGGACAGGACTTGTCCACGGGCTCTGAACACATCGGTTAGGAAACAGTCCAAACATTCCACAGCTGCATGGTTAACACAGCACCCGGGTTTACGAGGTCTATGGTGGCGGAGCGGTTCTGGATCCTGATGGAGGCAGTGGTTACAGAAATCTACACTCATGATGAACTGCACAGGATGCATGCATGCACATGCATGATGACAGCTGCACGAGATTCACACCTGTGCTTGTGCACGCACGCGCACATACACGCTTGTACACATGTGTACACTTGACACTGGTGAGATCTGGATGATCTGTGGATGGCAGGAACATCAGCGCCCTGGCTGGGACCTTGCACCAGGCTGTCCCACAGAGGGGATGGCAGCGAGCCCGCGTCCTTCCCGACGTCAGTCCTCAGGGACAAACAGCACAGCACACGTCTGCTCATCATTACTCCCTGTGTCCTGTTGTTTGAGACTTCCTGTGAATGTGTAGCCACTTCAAAGTTAAAAGTTAAGTAACAAAAAAAGAAGGCAAGAAAAAAGAAAAGCTACCCTTGCCAATGAAATCAAACTTAGACCTGGGGCGAAACAGCTGAAGTCCTTCCAATGACGGTGCCACAGGCTGCTTTATTTCAGAATAACAGTGACAGGGGGAATGGCCAAAATAAAGAGCAGGAAGGGTTCCAGTCACAGGCACCATCACAGCACATCACTTCTGGAACCTTCTCTCTAAAGAGGAGATGTCCGAGTCACCTGAGCAAGGGCAGCTGGCCGTGTGTTCCTGGCGCTGATGTTCATCTATTGTTGGAACTCTGCTCTTGGACTCGGGGCACAGTTACTCGCTCTGAGTAACCATAGTGTCTTCCAGTTTCCGCAGCAGGCGTGAGCCCCTCGGTTGAGCTGATCAAGTGTGAAGCATGGTGACAGCAGCTCTTTGGCTCACCTCCTCAACCCTTCTCTCTGGCTGTCTGTGGATCGACACCAGTGGCCACCAGGGGCCTGTGTGCCCGAGGCCTCAGCAGGCGGAAACCTTGAGCCCCCCGCCTTTGCCCTCAGAGCTCAGCTGAGGCCGCAGATCCCCGAGGGAGCGTGAGGACACGCAGGCCCACCCAGACCTGCCGACGCCGACGAGCAGCCTGGGGTGGGAAGTCCTCATGAGGCACCAATTTCAGTCTGTCCTCATCACTGCCCTGCGACATCAGGCACTGTCCAGAGGTTCATAAAACCCTGCTTTCCAGATGAGGAAACTGAGGCCTGAAGACGACACCGCCAGCATATCTCCCTAGTGGATGGGGCACTGAGCTCCAAGCAGGCTGCCTGTGCCAGAGACCCTGCGTGCCTCACACACCCCAGCCAGCCTTGGTGTCTCTCAGGCCCCGCCAACGAAAATGCGCGTGCATCTCAGTGTCATGTCCAGTCACAGCTCCCGGTTGTACAATTCCAGACACCGGCATGGGGTTGGGAACCAAGGCTTGACTGGGAACCACACACGCCAGGAACACGAGAGGAGACGAGGTGGGCTGCCCTCCCAGCAGGCACTCTCCCAGACACACGGCAAGTCCGAAAGCCACCTCCTGGGGAGGTTGGGAGCCTAGATCCCGCCATCTCCTCGACTAGGGGGAGAACCTCCATCCTGGGGGGTAGCTCTTTCCCTTGGACAAGGGGGTCAGCCCCAGTGAACACACTGCCCAGCCAGCCAGGGCGAGGCCCAATGCTCCAGCTGGTGGGAGCCGCGCTGAACTAGTCACTTCTCTGGCTCCACGTCCCTCTCTGCCGAGTGAGGGAGCCTGAAGCAGAGCCTGCAGGTGAGTCTGTGTGGCCCTCATCCTGCAGCTTTATTTTCTCTTTACCTGCGATTATGTGCTGCTGTCCTGTCGCATTTTATATTTTTAAAGCTACTTCAACCATGCGTGACAAAGTGTGACAATGACCAATGGAATAAACAAAATTAACAAGCCTGCATTTACTCTAAATGAAGGACACAACTTGCTAACCGTTATGCCCTGTGAAAACTAGAACCCGTGTCTGTCGCTTCAACCCCAGTCAGAGTCTCTGACCGTGCTCCCAGGCTCCACTCAGGGTCTCTCACCTGCACTTCCGAATCAGCATCCACATGCTGCAGCTGGAACCAAGTGTCCCTGTTGTGGTACTTCTGCAGGTCTTCCTTCTGAATGGCCACCTTCCCTAAAACACAAGCACAGAGAAGAAGCAGTCACCAGTGGGAACATATCCTCTGGACCCAACAAGGTTCATATGCAGAAGTCTCTCCATCAACACTGCGAATTATCCCAAATGGTATAATCCAAAATAGATAATCAGATAAACTGATGAAGCCATGCTGTCTTCCTTCCAGTAAGATCAATATTGGCGACATTTCATCTAGAAGGCGCCCACCTCCCACCCCATCAGCAGCACAGCTCACACCCCACCCCCATGGCGGGGCCACTCACCTGCTCCCGTGATGGGAGCAGACCCTGTGCATGGACGGAGCCACCTTTTGTGAGCACTTTTACTCCTTGCACGTTACCCGAGGTGGTTGTGGCGACTGATCGGGAGAGGTAGGGGTGCAGGGTGGGGGCATTTCCTACAATAAGAAACGGCTCTGCCAGGCGCCTGACAGCGAATTGCTCAGGACCTGGGAGGAATGTGGGACGGGGGTGAGGGAGCGAGCACTGAAGGCAGCCCCCGGCCACGCGGTGGTGAGACCAGGACACGCCACATGACCATCCCTTCCCGTCTCAACATCACACTGCAAAGTGGGGATGTGGCAGCATTTGCTCGGTAGGGCTCTGAGGAGACTTCATGGAAGTGTGTGTGTGTGTGCGCGCGTGCGCCCGCACACACTTGTATGAGCTAAAGCTTAGAATCCGTGTGTGTGCATATTTAACTTACACAGTGTTCACGTGTATGCAAGTGTGCTTGTATATTTAGCTCATATAGCATGCACACGTGTACATGTTTGCATATTTAGTTTAAATGTATGTGCACATGTGAGCATGCATATATTCAGCTGAATAACGTGTGCATACATGAGCATCTGTATGCAGAGTCAGCTTACACAGTGTGTGTGCACACATGTGTGCACGCATATGCACAGTCGGCTTACACAGTGTGTGCGCACACGTCTGTGCATGTGTATACACAGTCGGCTTACAGTGCGTGCGCACAAGTGTACATGCATATGCACAGTCAGCTTACACAGTGTGTGCGCACACGTGTGCACGTGTATGCACAGCTGGCTTACAGTGTGTGTGCACATGTGCGTGCACGTGTATGCACAGTCAACTTACATAATGCGTGCGCACACATGTGTGCATGTGTATGTACAGTTGGCTTACACAGTGTGTGCAGACGTGTGTGCATGCGGATACAGAGCCAGCTTACACAGTGTGTGTGCATAGCCGGCTTACACAGTGTGCGCACACGTGTGCATGTGTATGCAACGTTGGCTTACACAGTGTGTGTGCACAGATGTGTGCATGTGTATGCACAGTCGGCTTACACTGCGTGTGCACACACGTGTATGCATGTGTATGCACAGCTGTCTTACACAGTGTGTGTGAACATGTGTGTGCATGTGTATGCACAGTCAGCTTATATAGTGCATGCACACACGTGTGTGCATGTATATGCATAGTCATATTACATAGTGTGCATGCCCGCTGTGCACATATCTGCAGTCGGCTTACACAGCATGCATGTGTGCACACGTGTATGTTTAGCTTACATAGCACATGTGCAAACCTGTGCTTGTCAGGCCCATGGTCACGACGGCACACGTGTGCACTCAGGCCAGCTCACAGCAAAGATGGAAACTGAGGACGCAGCTGGAAGGAAGTGCCGCCTCCCCATCGCCCACCTGGGTCTATGACTCCATGTCTCCCCAAGCGTGGTCACCAGCCAACTGCGTCAGGACACCTGGAGAGCTTCCTAACATGCAGGGTCCTGGGCCCCATGCCAGAGGAGGAAACAGAATCTGGCGTGGGGCCCTGGAATCTTCATTTTTAGGAGGCCTCAGGGGACTTCTGTGGGCCCCAAAGTTGGAGGACACTTGCATTCCTTACCAGGCTTGGTGCTTTGGGGCTAGAAATTCAGGAAAATGCATATAAACTCACTTGCGCAATATTACATGATACACGTTAGTATACATTACCCAGTGTAGGTTTAAAATCACTGAACATACAGATAACCCATTACCCAGTGTAGGTTTACAATCACTGACTGCAAACGGATAACCCATTACCCAGTGTAGGTTTATAATCACTGACTGCAGACAGATAACCATTACACGTCTGCTTATTCACTCACTTGACTCCAGAAGTAGCTGGGCAGCTGGCAAGCACACGCCCACCCCACCCTGTGAGGACAGGGCACCGGGCACTAGGCTGTCCTCTGGTCCCCACATCAACTACTGGCGTCGTTCACCCATCCCAGTGGCCTCCAAGCAGTGCAACCACGCTATCCATCGGGGAGAGGAGTCCAGTGCCTGCGGCCACACGAGCATCCCTGTTTATATATGTATGCATGCAATACACACCTACACATGTGTCTTAGGTTCCTGATAAATCATATACAAAAGTAGAAATGATAAAGGACGATAGGAAAGTAAATATTTTTTTAAAGTTCAAATGTTTCTTTCTGCACCCCCAGGACACAAACACCCTAGTTTAGGATCATGGTCCAATTACAGAAGTGAGAAACTCTGGGTCCCTTCTGATCTCCGTCCACCCCAGCATCATCTGCTGCAGTGTGACCACCCTGGACACCTCCCCGCTCCCACGCCCGCTGCCGCCATCCGGTCCGGCCAGCGCCACCCCGCAGAACTCTTAACTGGCCAGCCTGGCCCTCCCCAACACGCCCCGCAGTTTTCTCCTCAAAGGAAGATCTCTCTTTATTTCAGGTTTCTTACAAAACGTTTGCTGGCTCCCATCTGAAAAGAAGGAGAGTCCTAACCCCGAGCCAGGCATCCCACAGACTCACAACGAGGCCTGACCCTCTTCTGTAATTTCTGGAACATTCTACCTGGCAGTCCCCTTACATACTTCTCCTCACTCGTCCTACAATAATCCTGGAGGGGCAGGTCGCAGATGAGGCTGCATGTGACAGACACATCCACGTTGCCTGTGAACAGGCGTCCCCCCAGCAGGACTGCACCCCCACCTGCTACGGCTTTTGCTTTCCTGCCTGACTTCCATGATTTATTCTTCCCCAAACATCCTCACCCATGAGGTCTCCCTGCAGGGTCGCCTCCTCTTAGCTGCCCCCTGGGTCTTGCAGGGCCTGGACTCAGTTCTACTCCCCAAGGCTCACACGAGACCTCACTGGGGCCCAGCCCATTCTGTCCCTCCATGTGAGATTTAAGGAAAAGAAGAGGATACTCTGCTGTTTGGTCCTGTGGAGTTCAGAATATGCCGCCCCAAAACGTGCCACTTTGACATAGGATTTTTTGAGCTGGAGGCGAAAGAGAATCAACCAAAGCAGAAAGACGCCCCACAGCCTCCCCGCCTGATGGCCAGCAGACGCCTCAGAGGGACGAGGACAGCCTGCGTCCCCTCCCAGGACATTCAGGGCCCAGAAGAAGACCGGAGTCAGCGCCAAGACCCTGCACACACAAACCCCACCCCAATGGTCCCCTGTCTTTACCTGCGCGCAGCCTGCCGCCCCTGGAAGCTGAAAACCTCTCTTGTCCGTCTTGTCCCTTCTCTGAAACACATCGTCCTCTGCTCAGATGCTGCGCAGCCCGAGTCTGGGCAGCGCTCCGACTGGCCCATCACTGAGGTTCCTCCCACGGGACGTGCAAGACAGGCATTAATATTAACTGCTAGTTTCTCACTGGTGAATCTGCCCAATTTCACAGGTCCCAGCGAAGGCCCAGGTGGGTGGAGGAGACTTTCTCCCATATGGTCTTCACGCCTGTCTGAGAGCTGAGTGGGCCCATCTCTGCCCTGGACCCCAGGCCCTGAGACACACCCACCAGCGCAGATGGCAAAGCAAACACGAGGAAGCTCCTGGGAGAGCAGAGTGCTGGCGACATCCAGCGAGTTGGGACAACCCGATTCTCCAGCCTCCACCTCCATCTGTCTGCCAGTTGTGCCGGTCGTCATTTTACAACGTTTCACATTCTCAAGGAGAAGGTAACTTAGCTCACGCTCCCCACGTCGTAAACAGCCTCGAGACAGACCCTGGAATCCTGCAATCAGGGCTCGTCAGTTCAAGGGCAGTTCATTCACACAGCCAGTACTTCCGTCCAGCTGCGATGTGGGCAAAGGACACCAAGCACTCCCAGGGCCAATACCACTGCCCACTCAACTCTGCTGCCTCAGCTCTCACCACGCAGAACCATCTGGAGCCAAACCCTGCCCAGCCGCATACGGCACAGCACACAAGAGCCACTGCAAGAGAGACGCAGAAAAGCAGTGGGCACGGCTGCAGAGATCCAGAGAGACCCAAACCACAGGCCCTGTGGGACTTCCTCAGACCGGCATTTAGGTAGGAGGGCAGGACGGCCCCTCATGCTCCTCCCCGGCTCGGGCCTCCCTCCCACCACACCTCACCACAGCCGGCGCCTGCTGAGGCCCTGACCATCCCCCAGCCCACCATCACCGGGCAGAACGGCCTGAGAGACCCTCCTTCCTCTCTGCCTGGCTCCTGCAAACTCCATCCTTTTCCCCCTGATGTGAATATGATTTTGAGTCTTGCAGGAACAAAGCCACATGAAACAAAAAATATCTTGGAATTATTCATGTTTCTAAATGCTGTTCTGAGAGACAACCTGATCCACAAACCACAATGTCTGCTTAACCGTCTCTGATGTTGTGATGTCTCACAACCCACAGGTGTCCCCATCACCCGAGTGAGATCCCTTTATCATCTGGACGGAGGAGTGCCAGCTACCTTCACTCAAGCCCCTGCATCTGCGTCGGGCTGGCCCCTCGCCAGGACATACTCCTCACTCCTGGACTCCAACGCGTGGTGGGGGCACGCCTGGCACACTAGGAACTCTGAAGGCGAGCACGGGCTCCTCCACGCATGATACCAACAAATCAGACACGGCAGACCGCAAGAAGCCGCTGACACAAATTTATCCCCAAGAACTTGGTTTCTCCTCCTGGCCACAACATAATTACTATCCGTAACTTTAAATTCTCCCTGGAGATCCAGACAGCCACTTATTTTTATGGCTG